CTAATTGAATTAACCGTAATTTAGGCAGAAGATTGTGGTGCAGCAGCAAAAATGAATGTTAGATAGCAAGTTATTTACATGATTGACTTTTATTATTTTATTACTTGTCAACAATATGTTCTGAAAGAATACAATATTTCCGTAATGCTTTTGGAACTATGGACCAACATTAGTTAAGTCTGTGTTTCATATTTAACCATACATTTTAATGGACCTACAAAAAGTATCAACTTATTCATCACTTATTTTTATCTATTTGTAAATTAAACGTTTAAGATTTTTTCCAAAAAGGAGGAATATTTATCTGTTGCCTTCTTGAAAATATTTTTTTACCACTTATTTTTATTTATTTATAAATTAAATCGTTTATAATTTTTTTCCAAACACAGGCTTAATTAGTAGCTATCATGTCGCCTTCTTGAAATATGAGTATGTCTATATGTGATCTTGCAAATTTTTTTATCTAACCAAACTACCCTGATTCCAAACAAGGAGGAATATTTATTAATAAGAAACATATGGCCCTATTTGGTTGAAATTGAAATTGCATTTTTAATAGATTTTATATAGTTAAAATTAATTGTTGACTGTGATTAACATTAAAATCTGAATTCAGCATGAAATATAGCAATTAAAAGAAACATGAAATATAGCTGAGCCTCAAGACCTGCAGGCCAGTTGGCANTATAGTTAAAATTAATTGTTGACTGTGATTAACATTAAAATCTGAATTCAGCAAGAAATATATCAATTATAAGAAACATGTATTATAGCTGAGCCTCATGTCCTGCAGGCCAGTTGGCATAGATGGGTTAATCGAATATCAGGTTAAAAATGCTTGAATTAATAGAAGCTGTTGTTCTTCACTTTCATTCATTCGAACTTTATTTCTTGTATTAGATACAATGTATCGATACTCATTCTATAATCTTGTTCCAGTATAAATCCTTCAAATTGTTTTCTAATTATACAAGCAGTTGTTGGGTTGAACTAAACCAGAAGCCTTCCCACCGGCATTAATGCACCGGTTCATTTTTGTAGGTCAGCTTAACGTCTTCCAAGTTAATATCACTGCATGGATTTCCTTTACTGCAGTCAAACTTCATTGCAATTTCGGTTGCCGAACTCCCATGTATTTTTTTAATTCGTTTTTCTTGTATTTTATATAATTTGTCACCAAATTTATTAAAAAAATTCATATTTATATGACATTTAATGAAAAAGGCAGATTCGATGTACAAGCGACCGATATATTGAAGACTCATGTAAAATAAAAACCTAACAAATTGTGCAAACTAGAACTCTATTATTTTGTATCGTCTAATTAAGCATATGTTTGGCTCTTCAAATCACTTCTTATTCACTAATTTCATGCGATACACATGATACTATCTACTTACTAATACCCATTTTCAATGTATAAGTACTAGCCACATATCCACTAATTGTTTATATCTATTTATAAATACTTTTCAAAAATGCTTTAATTCACTAACAAATTATAGTGAAAGATGGACGNTGGCTCTTCAAATCACTTCTTATTCACTAATTTCATGCGATACACATGATACTATCTACTTACTAATACCCATTTTCTATGTATAAGTACTAGCCACATATCCACTAATTGTTTATATCTATTTATAAATTCTTTTCAAAAATGCTTTAATTCACTAACAAATTATAGTGAAAGATGGACTGATCGACTACTAAATCTATTATGAAACTAACTATCGGATTAAGATGTTGAAGCTATATAGCACTTATATGCCACAATAATGAAGTATTCAATCACAATCAAAAAAATAAAAGAAGATAAGAAAATATAGTAGAGGAATTAGGAGATTTTTATTACACCAATAATAATAAAAAAATATACAATTGATCCTAAGATTCTGATAATTTCTGTTCCACTACGCCAAAAAAATCATTTGCAACATTAAAAAGGCAACATTTGTTGATAAATGTTGCTAAAAAGGTCTTTTGGCAACATTTTAGTAAGTGAATGTTGCCATTGATTAATATATATGAGTTTTGGCAACATTTTTTAAAAGAATGTTGCGAAAAACTCCATTTTGCAACGTTTATGGAGTGTTGCGGAAGGTGAGATTTTTCGCAACGTTTATTAAACGTTGCGAAAGGTCTCACTTTTCACAACATTTAATAAACGTAGCGAAATGGGGTCTATAGTGAAAACCCTAACCGGCCGTCGTGAAAGCCCTAATCGCGGAGGCGGAAAGAAAGACGATGGCTCCAGCACCGTCGTGTTGAAGCTGGACTTGAATTGCGAAGGCTCTGCGAAGAAAGTAAAGCACTCCGTTTGTCATTTTGAAGGTACAGGAAAATCTTAGCCTTCTAGATCTATGTTTTGTTTTTTTTTTTTTCAAAATTCAATTGGTTNTTCGTGTGATGGATGATAACAATTTGATGGGTAAAAATTTAGTGGATCTTGATTTGAACCTAGAACATTTGGACCCACCTCTGAATTCAGATTCGAGATTTGGATCTAAGTTGAATGAGTTGGAAACTACCCATGGTAGGATAGAGGAAAGGATTAGAGAGCTTGAAGCTATCATTGCTCGTGCTAGGCATCGCCAATTGCGTAATGCTCTTAAAATAAGCGACTTTTCTGGTGCACATGTGGATAGAGGTGGCAAGGGAACCTATATTGACTTGTTGCGGTCACTTGTTTTGTTGGGTGTGTTTTTATCAAGTGTCGTATATTGATTCAACTTCTAAGGAATGTCCGGTTTGTAAAGAAGATGAATTCATGTTTTCTTGTGCACATTCCTGCCTCAGTGTAATGGAATCGATCTTCAAACAAGGCAGTGGTTGGGCCTATGTTCAGGTATAATCTTATTCTTGTCATCGCATAAGAATTCTATTTGTGTTCTTTGCAATTCTCAATTCTAAGCTCTACAAGTGAAATTTTGTGATTTGAAGGTTAAGCAGAGATACAGACAGTACCACCACTGCTCTGGCTCTGCAAACAATCCCAAAGCAATTCCGGTGCCTGAAAGATGCAATTTTAGGCCAAATTCAAGCTGCCAGAAGAAGTTTGGGTGAAGACAATGGTTTGATTGGGAAGATACAATTTTAGGCCAAAGTGGTGGAAGTTTGGTCTCAAGGAGTACATAGACTTACCCTTCTAGCTGACTAGCTTTATCACAACTATTGTGGGCTAATATGAACTCCTATCTCAGTTGTTTCATTTAGGAGTTTTATTCAATACTAGTAGCTTATCTTCTGTACCAAAAGTTTTTTCTCACTTCTGCAGAAGAATAATAAATGTAGCATTTTATAATTTTCAGGAGTATCTAACCAGGATGTTTTGTTTGCCAGGTGGCTTCCTCTCATGCCAATGTTCAAACTAGGACTGGGCCTACGGACACTGCTACCTACCAACAGACACTGTATTCTCAGCCTTGTACACCAGCAAGCAAAAGAAGCTGATGTTCATGCTCTTACTGAGCTGACTCGCGCTCTTGTATATATTATTGTTTTAATATCATGACGATTTGCTAGTTGACGAGTTTAGGGGAGGAGGATTTAATTTCTTGGAATAGATATAACATGATGTCAAAACCATTAAGACATTAAGGCCGTGAACACCGGTTTATGTATGTCCTGAAATTATCATGTTACCATACAGTATATGGTTTTGTAAAAGGTCAAAATAATCACATGCAATGCTTTGAAAAATCGTGAAAAGTGCCTCAAACAAAGTAATGTGAATTGGACATAAGTTTCGTTTGCGTGTATAACTAAGCTCATTTCTTTAAGTAAGATGAATCTTTAGACGTGGAATGTCAAATGAATAATTACAACTTATTGGATGAATTAGGTTTTCACCCTTAAACATCATACATGCATAAAATTCAACGTGGGCAGAAAACTCGATCCATGGTGAAAAATAAACAGCATCTTTGGTGCGATTTATAAATAATTGAACATAAATCAAAGAAAAGAGACGTGTAGAAGATTATTGAATCCAATGCCCTCTTAGAAAACTATTTATATATAGTGATTGTAGATGTGCTTTTGATATTGGATAACTTTGTCGTACTGCCTTTCTCTTGTGTGTATATATATACACACACACACACACTATTTTTAGATTAGAATTAAATTACACATTTCATGATTTTTCGAAACTACAAAAAAGGAATTGTAAAGCTTGAAAGAGAGAAAAAAAAAAGTGTTGATTGACTTATTCGAAAAATATTCATATAGCATCGTTTGATATGCGTTCTCAGCTAATAACATTAGACAAATAATCACAACTTATGTATGTAATTAACCATGTGGTTATTTTCAAGAAATTACTCTAATGAAATAACGAGCAAAGAAAATTTGAACAAGATAAATCCAAATATCCTTCACATTGCCTCACGTGGGGATACATATCTAACAAATTGATAACTTTCAATTTCATTGGTAGTAACATCAAATTTTCTTTCAATCATAGACAAAACTTTGTTTATCATGCCCTTTATATAACATATTTCTACAAATACTTAACAGCTATTACAGTTGAACGGATTTCTATGTTTATGTGACAATCATGCTTTTTGGAGTTCTGCCAATTTCATTTTACAATTTCTATCTATGTTTCATGCATGCATTTATACTAAGCCATTGTTTAGATATTCGAATGGTTTTAATTACATAATTTCTCCGAAACCATCAACCTGGTCCTGTAGAATCCTAAACACGATTAAATTAAATTGAAGTTCAGTGATCCAAAAGACAAATCAAAATATTATTGACCAAATTATGATTTCGTTTAAATTTGGTCGTAAAGGGAGTGAATGCAAAACCCCAAAACGTTTATTTATTGGTTGATTAGAATAAACCATAAATAATTATGGAGTAAAGTACAATTAATTTGTCCAACATGCATGGGAGATGCTACGTACATGACTGAATGAACATTTAAAATGATTAGCAATCATTAAATTAACATTTAACCTATATATAAAATAACCAGAAATATATTTTTTAAAATTAATTAATGCTTGCCACGTGTTAAGTCAAAGATAATTAATTACTTGTTTAAATCAACATTCATTCTCAACCCCAAATAGAGTGAATGAATATGGGATCAATAAGTAAATTAAAATAATTAGTTCCTAATTAATGTCGGCTATTCACAATCATTACTCCTTTGCTTGTGGCAATGATCTTCCAACTACACGCTCGACCAGTTGGGATACTAAAACGGCTTAATATCCATTATTAAGGGTCCATTTGATAACATTTTTGAAAAGTCAAAAATTACTTTTGAAACTAAAAAAAAAAAAACTGATTTTAAAGCTATTAATCAAAGATTTTTTTTTAAATACTAGAAAAGATTTTAGATGAAGATGACCAAAGGTAACTTCCTCAAGAAATTCTTTTATGAGAAGTAAAAATCATGTTAAACTGACTCTAAGTCTTAGTTACAATAAATTTCTTGACCCTTTTTCGAGAAACAACTAAATATTAGTTTTTGTCAAAAAAATTAGAAATTCTTCACTTGGCCAAAATCATGTCTTAATATGGACAAAATTCTTGCTCAACCATTGTTGGAATTTGATGCCATTTGTGACATTTATTTTCTAACACGTGGGGCAATGATGAAAATGGGCTAGGCCCAAAGCTGTTGGAATTTTTTTGGAACTAAGACTATTGCCCAATAACTCAAAAGGAACAAGCCCTATACCCTGCCCAACTTAAATGCCAAAAAGAGCTGTTCTGGTCCGTTGGATCTTCAGCCTAATCTACGGTGGTATGGTTGCCTATATATAAGGTGTTGGATGGCCATTCGTGTGGTTTTTCATTCTATTCTGTTTGCTTAGTGCGAGAAAGCTTCTGGGTTTTCTGTATCGTGTTCTCTCTGTTATCTCAGTCGATTCTTTGTGATTCTAGTCTTGGTAACTGTTCGATTGAGATTTTAGAGGTGTTAGATTGGTTGTAGGGTTTCAGATCATTGAGTAGCTGATTTGTCCATTCTTGGTTAGGGTTTGTGGTCTTTGTGGCTTGTTCTTTTGTANCTTTTGTACAGACGGGTACAATATCTTTGTGAATATTCTGAGCCCCTAATTTTGTGAATCTATTAGTTAGTGTAATTGTTTTTCTGGATTCTTTTGGTGAATTGGAGTTGACTGCTTCCGTTGATTCTTGTCTCATTCCGTTACAAGTGGTATCAGAGCGTGTGTAAGGCGTTCTTGAGTCCTCGATCGTGTGATTGTCCTTGGAAAATTAATTTCCAGTTGACATACATGGATCTATCTGTAATCGCAGAAACCCTAACCCTAATTTTTCCCCTTTTCGTTTTGGTCACTAATTCTCTCTGTTTTGGGTTTCTTGTGAGGGACACTGACTCTTGGTGAACCTGGCTGCAGTTATGAACTTCGAACTGTTCGTTACTGGCTAGTGGAACCTGCTTGGTGCTTGGTTCTTTGAACCAATGTGGTGAAACATTCCTAAACCCCCTGTATTCCTATTTTCTTATTGTATTATTACGGCATCTCTGATTATTGGCACTCTCCTTTGATTTTCCCTTGGAAGTTGTGTTCCCTGGTGTTAGGATTGAGCCTTGACCTGAGGTTTTGAACCACACGAAATCCTGGTGAATTCTAACACCTGAAATTGTTAGTATCTTTTGGTTATTAATCTGTTCAATTTCAATTGCTTAATTCTGTGTAAATTTTTTTGTGATAATTGGCATGTTTTATTCTCAGTGCTTATCTTTTGTTGATTCATTGAGCTTATTAAACTTGTTGATTATCACTGTTCACTAAGTTGTAAGCCTGTAATGAAATTGATACCTTCATCTCTCATTTTTTTGTTTTGCACTGAGAAGTTGTGTGACTCAAAGTTGTTTGTGTTGAAGGATCTGTTTTCGGTTTTTCTGTGGAACCGTAACCTCAAAAATCTTTTTTGTTGATTAAAAACTTCAAATGANTTTTCTGTTGGACTGTGACCTCAAAAATATTTTGTGTTGATTAATAACTTAAAATGACAATGGCAACATTTGAACTTGGAGTCTTTAATGGAAAAGAGGATTTTCCCATTTAGCAGCAAAAAATGAGAGGGTCTTAGTTCAACAGAAAGTCTCTAAGGCTAGAACTGGTCAATTTCCTTCTACTATAACCGATGATCAAAAACTAGAATATGATGAACTTGCTCATACTTCTATAATTCTTCATTTATTTGATCAAGTGTTGAGGAAAATTGGTAAACGAAAATTGGTAAACTTAATAACACTAAGGCTTTGCGGGAAAAGTTAGAAGAGCAATGCATGTCTAAGAATCTGACTAATAAACTCTTCCTTTTAGAGATGTTCTTTAGCTTTAAGATTGATATGTCTAAGGTTTTAGATGATAATCTTGATACCTTTAATAAATTGGTTCAAGATATCGCTAATACTGGGGAGAAGGTGTCTGATGAATATAAAGCTGTTATCCTGCTGAATGCTATACCTGATG